AAAAAAAAGAAAAAAAAAAACAAATAACATAGATGCATTGGGCTGGTATTTCTATGCATTATACTCAACCCAGAAGCATTCTACTGCACCTAACTTTAGTCGATTCTGTTTAACATCCTTCATGGAAAGTAATAAAAATCCTATCCTGGGTCCAATCCCTACAAACATTATCCTAAAAGATATAAGATAATCAAATTACCTCCATATCCGGTTGAATGTTTCCTGGGAAATATATATTGATTCTTTTGCAATCGAAATGAACGCTGAATTATGTTGTACTAATGACTGCTGTACTAATGATTGAACGTCATGTGGAGAAATTCCGAAACTCCAGGCATGATCAATTAATCTACCCGCCCATTTTGAACGATCCACCCGTTCAATATTACTACTGGTAGAACGTCGTTGTGGTATTGGATGGGTCACGGATAGTGAAGGCTGTTGCTGACGCACAGGTCGCGTCGGCTGAATCTGACATGTACTAATTCGTGGTGCACCATGGCTTCCGATAACAGAAGAAATACTATCGGAAACTGTTATTGGCGGTTTATCATTGCGCGATATGCTCCGTTGAGAAGCGTAGTAATTTTGATTAAGCTCTTTAAACCATTGCTGAAATTGCATCTGCACTAAAACGACGAAATAGCAATGTGAACTACATCTTGCTGGAAAATTAGAGCTATCAAAAGTAATCATAAACTACCTTGAACTCCTGAAACGAGATGTGGATTGTCTACAACTGTCTGAAAGACGTCTATTGCGAATTTCATGCAGTCATCTCTACAATACCGTATCAGCTATAAAAAGTTTGGATAATTAGGTTGACGAATAAACTTCAATAGGAATAATAAATTATTTTAAGCAAAAAAACCTTTAAACATAAATAAAGTTTATTCTGAATTTCAGGGAAAAGAAAGATTTCTTGATTATATTTTTTAGTATTTTTTATATAACTTGCGATATCTTCACACACTTTACGCCAAGTAGCTTGATCGTTTGACTCTAATAAAGTTAATGATTTATCTAGTTTTTTCTCTAATCCATCAGCTATTTCCATGAGACTCTGTTGACCAAACTGTGACGTTTGGCCAATAGATATTCTGGGTTCTGTGGGGATTGAATTAAAAGTAGGCGATGGTAGTTCTGATTGTAATGTATTATTGATCGATGACTCAATTGGTGGAGTAAAATAGAAAGAAGGTTGTGGCAATAGCCAACACCCTTGCAAGTTTTGTTGCGTCACAGAATTATGATCACTAGACTGTGATTGTATCGTATGAACAGGTCGTTGCTGCACATCTCGACCCTGTGCTGAAGCCAACATTGTCATTTGTTGTCTAGGAAACATAGCATCCGTGTTAAGATCCTGCGTCGCAAATTGACCGTTAGATAGCATTGGGTTGGTGTGACCAACATTGTTCTGAACCGAATAATACCAATTCGGATTATCACTGATTCCATTAATGGTTTGTGAAATTTGACGCTGAGGATTGACATTCGGTGCCGAGCTCATCTTAATAGAGCTAGGCACTACGAAATAAAAATAAATCAGTACTTTTGATAAATATATATGGTGTATTATTATAGTAATACATATATGCATCATATTCTTACAAGGTTTCGGAGTTTGACCGTATATACTATGATTCGAGTCGATAGATAGTGTTCGTGTATTATTAAGTGTTACCTGTTGATTATTCTTATAGGATCGCAACAGATTATTAAACCGTGAAAAACAAATGTTACAAAACAAATATCGAAAGAAAATCACATACCACAGGTGCTTCAAATGTCAATGGTTGTGAAGTATTATTATGCGCTGATATCGAGTTGTGTTGATAACCAGTAGTTTGCACATCTCGAATTTGCGTTGAGGCATAAACCTGATCCGGTCCTCGCAATGTGGAAAGATAGTCATTAGATATTTGACCCGGTAGTGTATTTTTTCTTCTTCGTTTGGACTGGTGATTATATGTATCTGTCCCAGCTTGACTCGGAACATAATGAATATTGGAGTCTGGTGTTGTATCATAACCATAACTTCGTTGTGTATTGTCGTTATTCATATTCATTCGAAAATGGATTTGAATTGATTATATCGAAACCTTTTTAAAAATAACAATAATATAAATAAGATCAATAATGAAATATTTTAATATGATAAGTTTGGTGTTTAAGTAATGCCGCCAAAATGAAAGCTAATATGAAGGCGATCCAAAGATCAATGTAATATAAAGATGAGGCTATCCGTCCATGCATTAATAGGAGGTCAGACATTGTGGAGCATCATTTGTATGATGACTCATCTCCCTTTAATATTTCGTCGGTTAAAAGCAAAGAAATGAAAAAAATCATGACCACCTGACTAACAAAAACTTAAATCAATCTTAATATGGAACCACGCGACTTCCAAGGAATAACGTCACGTAAAGTGTAGTTACCTTGAAATCTTGAGGGCACGTTCTTTTGACGAAAGCGCTGAAAGTTCTTAAAAGCTTGAGAATATGCAGTGTAAAAAGACTAGACGTGGAAAGTATTAATGTAAAATGGTGAATTAAAGGTGATCTCTGAGTATAACTAAGGTATATGAACAGTGCAATGCGTATTATGCAATCTTACTTGTCTAAAAAAAAAAGAATACTTTAAAATTACATACCTAATAAAAGTTGCTATTGGTGAAGTAAAATTCTCCCCTCCTAGGTTTTCTAAAACTCTTGGCAAAAACAGAAGCGTATAAGGTGATGTCTTTATTCTTCTCCGTTTTCTTACGGTACAGAGACAGTCAGCTATGATAATATAAAAAGTACTATCGAATAATATTGTGCGACAGTTGTACAACAGTAGGCGATATTGTGTTACCGATATAGTCGTACAATGGTGGTACACAGGGTCATAAGATCTATATGACATAATCAACTGAGCAAATCTTTGACTTATTCGTAGTTTTAGCTCCTATTTTTGATTTTTGAGCCTGAAGGTTAGACAAATTTGTCGATGATCGCCGTCCTTAATCATTTATATTGTCGATTATTCGATGGCGCAGTATTTCATAATCGCATGCATTTATAGCGATAGCTCATAACCGCCGTCGTAAGCCACCTTTTATATGTTTTATGTATTTTATGTCTTGGCTTATCATAGTATTATAGCATTATTATGCCTAAATACTGTGCAAAATGGCAACAAAAAAAATAAAAATAAACAAGCAATCACGAAATAGAATTAATTAGTCCGTTTTTTTAATCTTAATCATTTTTTGCTTTCATTAAGCAAGCTAATTATAGTACATGTCAATCGGATCGGATAACCCAATCCAGTCCCGGTGCATATTACATAAAACCGCCGTGAAACCTAACTCGGGATCTGATCTTGAATTGCGCAATTTTTAAATTTTATTATTTAATATATATATATTTAATATATATAATGAATAATATATAGAAATGTATCTAGACACTAATCGTTATTTATATTTTTTGAAGTATAATTTAAAAAAAGAACATATATGAATTTACAGTATACAGTTAGCTCTTTAAGCGCACGCTCTATAAATGCACTCTGCGCTTCAGTTCCAACCACTAATAAGTTTT